AAATCTATTTTTATATCTAATTATAAAATTTTAAATTTCAAAAACGCTTAAAATCAAGTAGACCTATAAACATATGAAAATCTTGAAAATGGACGGTATAGATAATATGTTGTAAAATGCATTATTTATAAGACTTAAAATCCTTTTATTTTTCATGGTCATACATCTCGATGTCAAGATGATCAATCAAAAGGTTTTTCAACATTAAAACTACATTTTTTGATGGATTTTTGACGTTCATCTGTAGTATTACATTATAAAGTTGCATCCTTATCTAAACTTTTTCTAAGTAATAAAAGCAAAAGTTATGCACGTGTAACATGCTATAACGACTGGGTGACTATTTGATAACGCGACATTCTATTGAAACCATTTATCACAAACAACGCTATTTAACACAGGCCCTTCCAAAGCCGAGTTAACTCTTGGGGGGTCTTTGTTGCCGGGTTCTTGAGAACCCCACGCTCAGAACTGGGAATCTTAAATATCGGGGTTCTATTCAAGATCGTATACACAATTAGCAAAATGTGAAATAGATGAATATAACTATAAATCGAATATAATAAATAAAGCAAACATAAAAAATATGCCACCACAATACACGATTTACATGTTCACCCCACGTGGCTACATCCACGGCCTCAACAAGTAGAAATCCATTATTACAATGACGATTATTGGGTTACAAGAGATACAATTCTTTCTAAATAGGGTTATAAGAGATATAACTCTCTCTAGGCATCGGTAGGAACCTTACGGATTTTCTCTTCTAAACATGCTCATCGACCGAGCAATATTGCTACTAGAAAGAACTCCTTGCGAGCAACCAAGAAACTTTCTCTCTTTAAAAAAAGAAATTTAACTAACTCAAAATTCCATGAGAATATCACCTCTCTCTTAGAGGTCATGTCTCCCTCTCTCTTGGAAACCCACCTCTATCGTGGAGATCTCCATCGCCAAAGCTAACATATGTGGGCCATGTGGGTAATGTATGAGCGTGCGAGAGAGAAAAAAAAACAAAAAGAAATTTAAAAATTTATTCGATAATAAGAAAAAAAAAAAAAACTAAACAATAAACAAGGTTGAGAGTTCAACAAAGTGGAGTTTAAAAAATATTGATTTATAGCTGAAAAGAATTTAGAAAAAGAAAATTGTTTTATGAGGGCTAGACCTCATTTCTACATGTGGTCCAGAAAGTGTAAAGCATCCATCTAAAAGATGGATGCAAGTAGGTGCTCCATCTAAAAGCGATGGAAACTAACAGACTAAATGTTTTCTTACTAGAATTATTATTTTCAATTTTTAAATTTCTTTTTTTTTTTAATCGTCGTGATCTCCATGTTAGATATTACACATCCTTAAAAATTAAGTCGTAAAATCCATCTCAAAAAAAGATTTATTAATAGGCCCACATTTTTACAAGCTTGGCTGCATAGTAACGGGGTTTTTTAGAAAGTCAAAAAAACAAGGAAAAAATAAAATAAAACAATTAGCATATGACAAGAGAAGTTTATAAGTCAACATTAAGGAACATCTTCGAAATATCATCTAGTTACGGTACCATTTTAATTACGGCAACTTTTGCGCCAAAAAACCGTTGGCTCACTCTTACTCAAAATTCAAAATCCTTCCTCTGAAACGACCCGTGCCCTTTCGCATTTCTCAAAAATCCAAAGGACCGATGCCCTTTCACCCGCAACTCTCAACAATCAGGTTTTTCTCCTTCTCCTACTATTTTCCTATCACCTCCAATCTTTTTCCGGTAATTTCCAACACCGGATTTCTAACCCATCTTCCCTTTCTGCCTCTCATTGCAATTAGGGTTCTCAGAGAGAGAAAGAAAGAAAGAGCGATAGAGGTTCTAAAATTTTGGTTAGAACAGTGGATTTCACCCTGATTTTTTACCCATTTCTCGTAAGAGTTGTAAGAAACCAGCCGTCGGGGCAGTATTCAGGACCGTTAGTGTTTCACGTTGAAGAGAAAGAAAATCAATCTACGAGGAACAGATACCGTTAGTGTTTCAGGTTGAAGAGAAAGAGAATCTACGAGGAGCGGATAAGTAGATAGTTCAAGACCTGTATCGCAACTATCCGGTAACTCAGTTTAGCATTATTTCATTTTTCGAATCCATATATATTGCAATCCCCCCATATTCTTGATAAAGAGAAATAAGAAACGAAGAAGTAAATCAGTGGAAGAATAGAAGACAGAAACAGGAATTGACGTTTTTCTTTAAGCGTAATGATCCATTCATTCATTCCAAATCTCTTCATTTAATCGTCATTTACATTCAATTGAAAACCAGAGAGTAGATAAAAACAAGTAAAAGAAGAAGAAACCCTGTAACAACAAGTGATCAAGCCTCCATTTCCCAACCCCTTCCTCACTTTCCTATTCCCGCGGGACTATGTTATCCATCTACTTCATCGGCGAAACTTACCTTGTTGTTTTTCTTTTTTTTTTTTGGGTAATTCATTGGGGATGACGGGCCGCTACCAGTTTTTAAATCGTTAGTAGTTTTTAAATGCGTTAGGTGAGAATCGATACCTAGACCTTAGTTGAAGACACAAGTGGTGCTACCGACCCCAATCCTATTCTCAACTTACCTTGTCTTTTAGATCCCAAATTTTACATTACAAAATATCTTTAGAAGCCAAAATTTGAGGATGTGATCTTAAAACTCCGCAACCAAAGTAAAAAAAGAAATTCAAATCTATAAATAAAAGGAATTTCAAATTTGTACCGGAATTCTTCAATTTTTAAAGAAAATTATTTATGATCTAGATGTTTGAAAATAAGTATTCTGTTGTAATTTCAAATAAAAAATCTTAAATAAGTGTTTTAGTATGCTTCTAAAGATATTATATGCCTTTTTAACCAAATGTAATGTCAGCACTTGTGAATGAAAACAAATATTTTCGAGTTGTTTTAGTAACAAGGTAAACAGCTCTTTTTGAGTCTCTCAATTCTTAGTTGGTAGATAAGGTTTTGGATTTAGAAAAGGATTATATAAGGGAAAATGGTTTGATAAGGCTGCTGCTTTATCAAAGTAAGTAAATCCTCACTTCGTGACTCATCTCGACTTGGAAAACCTTTACATTGATCATCTCGACTTGAACATTATGGCTGTAAAAAGAATTTAGGGTTTCAAGCTCTAAAAATAGTGTATGTTAAAACAAATTATCCAAACCATTCATTTTGCTTTAAAAATAAGTGTCCTCAAATCCACAAGATCTGTACCATTTTTTTAGTTTCAAATTTTATTGTCGGTGTTGGAAAGTGATTTTTAGAGTCATCATAGATGTTTCTGTTATTGAAAGTACTTTACGGATAGAGATTTGAGTTAAAGATTTATTTTGTTTTCATAAAGCCTAGGCCTATAGAAACCTCATCCTTACACCGAAACCTCATCCTTACACCAGTGTTCCCTTCTCAACCTTGGATCAGATATTTCACTGAGATTGCGCATGTAGTGGAATGGCGGTTACTTCACCATCACACCATTGCTAGTGGCCACTATCCTATGACCTTTAGCGGTTGGGAGGGAACCGGGTGGCAACGAGCTGTGCTTGGGTCGGGCCAGCCCTGGCCATGGCCCACTCCTTGTCCCCATTAGGCCGGCCTAGGCCTCGCCTTGCCTTGTTCGGGCAGGGCTGGACCACAAGTAAATAAAAATAACAAATAAAAAAATAAGAAAAAAAGGCCAGACCAGGTCAGCACTAGCTCTAGCCCAACTCCCAGGCCCTAATTTGTTTTGGGCTGAGCCTGGCTGCCCGGCCCTAAATGCAATGGATTTCCCATTTGCTTGTGATTAGTGTAAGGGTTTTACGTTAATAACTAAAGCCGTGTCTCAAATACCCACCAGAAAATGCAATTTTAGGGCAGCCTTACTTTGCCTTGGCCTTATATGAACCATTTCCTTCGTTTTAGGTATTTGTATCTAAATAGAAGTCCTTCCATAATCTCAATGAATATCTAGTTGACAAAATGTATTGCTTGGCACAATTAAAGCATAAAAAATTTGCTTGGTACAATTAAGTGTTCTCCTATTTACTAATTGCCATGGGTGATCTATAGTAAATAATATAAGATCTGCTCCTTTATTGACTTATACCTCCATATTGTGAAATTCTATTTCACTCTGTTTCTCAAATCCCTTTTACTTGCTTTCTACCTTTTAACTTATGATTTATTTACAAATTTTTAAATTATCAATTCCCATTAGTAATTTTTGGAGCACCTTCAGTCATTCATTTTTTAAATTCTCCACCCAAAGCTTATGGGAGTACCGTTATTCATTTGATCAGTATTGTCAACATGTTGTGAATAGCATAATGAAAAGAAAGAGATGGAATATGCAAAAAAAAAAGTCAATGGGTGAGTGTCTTTTTATTCTCCATTTTTCACTACATCCAATTCTTAATTTTCTCCATTTATGCAATTGACATAAAACAGTCAATGGGTGAGTGTCTTTTTATTTTCCATTTTTCACTACATCCAATTCTTAATTTTCTCCATTTATGCAATTGACATCTTTTGTAGCCAAGCAAGATTGAGAGGATTAACTAGCAAGCAGCGCTTGATTTCTTAAATCACAAGATGGCCTCCATAAATGAAGTGAAAGATGCACAGAATAATCCACCTGAAATCCAGAGCAACCCACCTGAAATCCATGTTACGGTGGAAGACGGCCGAGATATTGAGCCCCCAACACATGACAATGTAATGGGGTTTGACACAATTTCTCAGCAATCATTCCCAGAAAATAGAAATCAAGCACTTTTCAGTTCTCGGAGATCGCCCACCATAACATTTGGGAGAGCTGTAGGAGTAACTAGACTTCATCAAGTCTGGCCTGGAAAAAATGTATGTTGAGAAAATTGCCCACTTTTGCTCTTGTTTTAATCAATATCTACATGGTAAGTCTTCACAATTCGCACCAGTGTGCACAGCCTTTGCACACACTTGAATGTACACCTTCAAATTCATGGCACACATGCTCATAATATATGTAATCTACCCCATTGAATCTATGCTGAGATTTTTTCCAGCTCAATGTTATCAAGTCTTTGTCTTTTTATATTTTGCAGATATTTTTGTTTGGAGGACGGCTTGTTTGCGGCCCTGACCCAAGAGGGTTGGTGCTGACTACAGTTTCCATTGCAATTTCTACTTTGGTCTTCTGCATGTATGTGGGTCAGAATTTTTCAAGTGATTCGGCTCTCATCATCACCTTTGCCGTGATCCTTTCATCAATTGTCCGTACTTCCCGATAGTGGTCATTACTCTTTTACTTACATGTGATATTAAATACTAATTTCTCTTCTCAAGGCTGAATTCAACTGGTTTTAGAGCTTTAAAACCATGATAATGGGCTAATTGTTCAATAATATACTCAGGTCCTCTTCAGCTTGTTCTTGGTAGGTGGAACCGATCCGGGTATCATTCCAAGAAATGAAGAGAGTCCTTTGTCATCAGAGTTGTTAAGAGAAGATGGGAGAATGAAGAGTAGGAGAGTCGAGGCAAATGGGATGGAGACGAAGATGAAATACTGTACAATTTGTATGATATTTAGACCACCTAGGAGCTGCCATTGCGCTATCTGTGATAACTGCGTCGAAAGGTTCGACCACCACTGCCCTTGGGTGGGCCAATGCATTGGACTGGTGAGTGTAGCTATCTGTCTCAAGAAAACAGTTTTAAATATGGGTAAGCAAGGGGAATTTTGGCCACATTTTGCTATGCAAAATAATAATGGATACAAACAGCTTTGCAGACTATGTCATGTCTAAATGGACTGCACAAGAGGAGACTCTACTCCATTCAAAAGTCCTTCACAAATTTATGCAGGGAAAGTTGTTGATGTCCCAAAAGCTGTTTATAACCATACAGGAGATTAACTGGTGCTTTCATACACCATTCCAAGAATCTCATATGGGCAAGTCTTGGTTGCAGACCCAAAAACCTTGAACCAAATCAACCGTCGGCCCTGTTGATTCTATCGGGTCGATCATGATCTACAAAAGCTCTTTAAGTATTATATATTGCTGAAGAAATAAAACTTTAATGGAATTATGACAGCCCAATTACCGCCACCTGGAACACGATTTTGCTCCAGGTAGGGTGAACCCCAACGAAGATCACAAACAATAGTGACACATTTGCAAACTTAGAATATTCTAGAATTCAGTGCTTGGATGAGTTAAATAGTCGTTACATGAGTATTTGAGTTTTTCTTTTTTGGGTAATTTAGTGGGGAAGAGTTACTTATTTTTTAAAATAGTTTCAGAGTTAGTTTTTTGAAAGTGTAAGTAAGGTGATGTCAGCAGGAATGGAAACTAGAACGTGATGACTAGGGTGTGGGGTGCTACTAGTACGACCCCCAGCACCTTTCCCATGAGTATTTGAGTTGTTCTAGAGAAAAATACTAATTGTTGTAGATCCTAATTTGAGATTATCTGACGCGCTAATTGCGCTCTAATCTTACAAGCACTGTTCTATCTTGAGATCATTCTCTATTTATTATGGTGGCAGCTGATGGATAAATTCACATGATTGCAGCGAAATCACAAGCATTACTTGGCCTTCCTATCATCGGCTTTGCTGCTCTACCTCTACATATCTGCATTCTGCTGGGCAGCCATCAAAGAGAGGATGTCGGAAACTGATGCAGGTTTATTTAATGTGATGGGTCGCATGCCTGAAACCGTCGCTCTCTCGCTTTTCAGCTTTGTCATAATCTGGTTCCTCGGGGGCCTTACTACCTTTCATTTATACCTCATCGCCATAAATCAGGTAGGTTGCTTTTATCTCTTTCAATACTAATACTAACTTATAAATAGAGGCTCAAGTTTAGATAGTTAGGATGGCGGAGCCTACAACATGACATCTTCAGTTTCATTTTTGTGTAATGTGAAGCAAGGTTTTATTATGAAAACTAAGAATCTCTCTCTGTCTCTGTCGTGGTATATTTAGACGGCATATGAGAACTTCAGGTTGCGTCACATTGGAAGAACAAACCCATACGATAAGGGGACCCTGAACAACCTGAGAGAAGCCTTATGTGGGAAGGTGCCGCCTTCAGAGGTGGATTTCAGGGCAGAAGTCAACCCCACGTGGTTTCCAGGTGTCGGAAAGAAAATGGAAGGTGGTGGTTTTGGAGTGGGAGAGAAGCATCAGCCGACACCGGCGGTGGAAAAGGGGACTGGCAGCCAGCGCTTTGAGGAAGTGGATTTGAGAGTGTGAGAATCAGATAGTTTGCCTTGTTAACTATTTAAATGTAACATCTGTTCATTTGCTTATTCATTCTGGTGAACACCCTTTGCAAGTGTAACTATTTAAATGTAACATCTGTTCATTTGCTTATTCATTCTGGTGAACACCCTTTGCAAGTGTAAATCTATGGTATTTTTTTTAAAAAAAATTTCATCATCTTTCTAAGTAACTTGATGTTAAAGCTGGCAATGAGCTGGGCCATCCTGGGCCCTAGCCCGGCCCTAGTCTCTATGGGGCCAGCCTTAGCCCGGCTAGGCACAAAAAGAAAAAGTAAAATGAAAAAAAGGGGAGGGCAAGGACGGGCAAGGTCGAACAGGGCTGGCCCTATTGTGGCCCTGCCATTGGGCTGTGGTGGCCCCGTCCTTAAGTTTCTTGGAATCCTTTGAAGGGTTGTTCATCGGTTTATCTATATAATTTTGACTTTATTTTGTATATAAAGAAAATAAATTATTTCCCTAGGACTAGAAATGAAACATAGATGTTAGATGTTGATGACAAGAATTTTGAAAGATTGATGCTGATATCAAGAATTTAATTAGCCTTTAAAAAGACGTTTGGATACTTAGAAATGCACGTCTCATAAAAAGTACATTGTCCCAGAAAATCTATTTCTTGAAAAAAGTATTTCATGTAAAATAGATTTCTAACTATTTGGAAGCTATATGGATGCATAACATTTTCAAGCTAATTAATCATTTTGACATCGAGATAAACATATCATGATAAATTTTGGAGGTGCTCCTTAATTGAATTGTCTAAAGTTGCCACCTTACAAAAACCACACCATTTATTAAATCAAAATTTGACAATAGAATATGAAACGTACTAATTTGTTTGTCACATAATACATGAATTATTATCTATTAAAGGTTTTAATTAGAGAGAGAAATATGTAGTCATCAAATTATGAAATGAACCTAAATGGCATTGTTCCTAAAACCAAATTTTACATATGCTTAAATCTGCGCATGCCCAAGATTTCATGGAAACTATGATTTTACCAAATAAATAAATAAAAATCTCAAACGACCTCCGGATCATACCGATTTCATCCTTGGAAAGAGCCCAACAATTTGAAGTTGTGCCTGTCCAGCCCTCTCCAAAACGAAATACACGACCATGATCACGTGGGAAAGTGCACAAATCGTAAAGAAAATCATAGTCACTTGTATCCTCATATATGGTTTATTCTTCAAACCTTTCGTGAGGCAAACATGTTAGCGGATGCTCTAGATGCACCAATTTGGCGTGCCGGCCGTCATATTTTTTTTCTATTTTAGTGTTGTAAAATAATGTATTTTTTATTTTTTTATTAATAAAAATTCGGATGGGGGCTTTTCCCCCACTAACTTACCCAAAAAAAAGAAAAAAATTCATAGTCACTTGTGTCATCACCATGCACGGAATCATTGGAGGGTGATGGAGGGAGCAAACCAAAACATTAGTACGTCGTGTGCATTTTCTATCGTGTGGTATGTGAGTGGATGGATTACAGTATAACTGGCGAGGGCACGTGCAAGAATAAATTTACTTGAGATGGAATAAATTTACTTGAGGTAATAAGTGACGGTGTATTATTATAGAAAAAAATTAATAGTTATTTTAATTTTTTTTCTTTTTTTATTTTTTTGGTATTAATGCCTCTGCTTTATACGTACCGAACCTTTTAGCGCCTCTTTGTACTTCTTCCCCTAATTGGGAAGTGTCATATGGAGTATAGATCTAATAGATATGTAGTCCCAAGTACTACGGTCCTAATAGGACCTGTACAATAACTAATAAAAAACAGGTATGCACACATCTCAAAAATCATAAGTGATAGTAGTGATAGTTCCATTTTGAAAGGTTACATCATAATTAATTGAGATTCATAGTTTTGACATTTTATTGATAAGAATACTTTAATGCAAAGTGTCATGGATAATTGGGAGGGAAATTCACAAAAAAAATCCCAACACTACATTTTTTTTTTTTATGCAACTTTTATCCGATCTACTTTTTCCTATCACTTTTTTTTCAAAAATAAACTTTCCATGTAAATATCCCCCAAAAAAAAAAAATCAATTTTTTTAAACAAAAATGCCCTTCACGTAAACAAAAATCAATTTGGCCAAATTTCACGTTAACTTTCGGAGCACATTGCTAGAGCGAACCATCGTAATGCAAGAGCGCTTGATCCATTGCCAGAGCGCGCATACACAATTCTAGAGAGCTGTGACTCCAGAGTGTTCCACTGCCTGAGCGCACTTACACAATGCCGGAGCAATTCCTCCACTACCAAAGTGTACTTACACAGTGTCAGAGCACATCATCCACTGCCGGACAGCTCTCACACATCGCTAGAGACCTAGGACGCTAGAGTGTTCCACCACCGGACTGCACTTACACAGTGATGGAGCTGTGATTCTAGAGTGTTCCACTGCCGGAGCGTACTTACGTAGTGTGGGAGTATTGGATCCACTGCCGGGGCGCACTTACGTAGTGCGGGAGTACTTGATCCACTGCCGGAGCGCACATACACAATGTCGGAGCCCTGGGACTCTAGAGTGTTCCACTGCCAGACCGCACTTACAAAATACTGGAGCGCTGTGATTCTAGAGTGCTCCACTGCCAGACCGCACTTACACAGTGTCGGAGAACTGTGACTCCACAGTATTCCACTGCCGGAGCACATTTGCGCAGTTTTGGAGTGCTTGATCCACTGTCGGAGTGCACATACACAGTGCCGGAGCATTGGGACTCCAAAGTGTTCCACTACCGAAGCGCACTTACGAAGTGCCAGAGCGCCTAATCTACTATCAGGGCACATGTACATAATGCTAGAGCGTTGTGACTTCAGAGTGTTCCATAGCTGAAGCGCACTTACACAGTGTCGGAGCGCTTGATCCACTGCTGTAGCTATCAATTTTTTTTTGGCTTTAGGGTGGTTGCGGGTATTTGCTAGGAAACAGTGTTTTGGGGTAAATTTCATAATAATTTTGGTCTTGGGGTTTTTTGTAATTTGCCCTAATTGAAAACGTGAGTAACATGTGTATTCCCTATATAAATTTAATAATATATCTCAGCTATGATTTTAAATTTATAATTATAATTTTAAACGCACTTAAATTTATTAATTCAAATTTTAAGAATTTATCATTTTATTAAGTAATACCCCATATAGTTAGTAGTATTTAAAAATTCCCCTATATTATACGCTTTACGCTCATGTTCCATTTTTCATATTTTTCATTTTTCCCCAAAATACTTTCATACCGCTCATTGTAAGAAATTCATATAGCACCTAACTATTAGTAGAACTGCGGGCCTTTTAATCATTATAAGGACTCAAAGCAGCCGAAAACTATTAGTTGTAAGTCGCTTATTGTAAGGAACTAAAGTTATCAAAAATTCATATTTTTGGAAAAGGGAGATTAACATTAGATTCCTAAATTCTATAAATACGATTAAAAAGTTTGCTTTGCTCGAAATTTTGACTTTATACTTAAAAGTAAACCAATTATTAACCACATATTTAAGATGATATTTTAACATTGTGCTCGTGAAATGAATTTATCTAATTATAAGTTTGAAAATTTAGCATTTTATATGTAGTTTATCACCTTTAAATAAAATATTGACATATTTATTAAATCTTCAAAATATATTTAATATTGCAAATTTATTTTCTATATGGTGCCTATTTTAAATAAATTATGAAACTAATCAAATATTTTAGTAATATAATAAGGACCTGGTTTTTAAGTGGCCAAGCCCGCATACGTAGAAATGCGGGCCTCTTGAAAAATCTATTTTGAGATGGATTTTAGTATTTAATTTTTAATGGACTTGTAATCTCTAACATGGAGATCATGAATAAAAATAAATAAATAAATTTCAAAAATTAACAGTAACAATTCTAATAAGAAAATATTGGACTGTTAGTTTCCATTCCAAATGTTAGTTTCCATTATTGTTAGATCAAACACCCACTTGCATCCATCTTTAAGATGGATGCTTTACACTTTTTGGACCGCATAGGCAGCCATGTGGTCCAGCCCACATGAAACAATTTTTCGTATAATAAAGCATTTTATATACTCATAATACTCCATGGTCTTTTAATTTAGGATGCGGTTTCTATAAGGTTGCAACCTTAAACAATCCAATTAAGGCGCACCATAAAATTCTATCATAATATGTAATTTTGTGTAAAAAATGCTTAGTATTATCTTAAAATCTATTTTCAGACCTAATAAGAAAATTTTAAATTCTAAAAATAGTTAAAATCAAGTAGATCTATAAATATATGAAAATCTTGAAAATTGACGGTCTAGATAATGTGTTGCAAGATGCATTATTTTCGGGATTCAAAACCTTTTTTTTTTCATATTCATAGATCTTGATGTTGAGATCATTAATTAAAAAAGCCTTTTCAACATTACAACAACATTTCTGATAGATTTTTGAAGTGCATATGTGATTCTACATTTTAGCATTGCAACTTTATATAAAACTTTTTCCTTTAATTTAAAACATATGGGCAAGTTGGGAACAACCAAAAAAGTATTTCTTAGTAACGTATTGGTGGATGACGTTGTCAGCTTACGTCATCTCCGTTTAAAGCCTCAGTAAGCTTAGGTAATGTAATGCTGTCCGGCAGGACCATATTGTATAGATACTTCCTTAGTTAAAAGACTCATCGTGTAGTATCATTTAACCGAAAACTGATAAAAATCTGTTTTTATGAGACTTAAGGCTAGGCTAAGGTTTAGATTAACAAAATTGTGGTGCCTTAAAATACTCTGACTAGCTAGACACCATGCACCTGTAGGAACATGTAACGGATGATTTATGAATGAATTCAATATAAGGTTGTATACAATGACATTTGGGTAATTTCAGTGGGGAAGACAGGCCTTACCCGTTTTTTCATTAGATTAGGCAGTTACTTCTTAAAAGTGTTAACTGGGGGTATAAGCGGTAGGAGTGGATACTACCACAGAAGTAACAATTACTTACAATTACCTGAGACGAAATCTGATAGTGGAGGTGAGCGATAGAGTTTGAAAAAGTTATTTTGAAGTTTAAGCTTGGTCAATGGAATAAATAC